TTGTGTATTTTTAGGCGGTCCAGTTCAAATTGGTGAAACCATGGAAGCTGCAGGTTTTCCCAGAAGGGGAGGGTGCTCTGGGAGTGTAGTTAGGGCTCTTGGGTAGATGCTGCTGCAGGGAGGGGTGGCAACCAGTACTCTTTCTGTACTGCTTTTCTCTGAACACCAGCTGATTTGACGTTGCAGTGAGTTACATGACAGGTGCTCTAACAGGCGGCTATGGAGAAGAGATGAATAGCAAGCACAAATGTCCACAAAACAGACCTTTACTGACCTGCTTGTGTTTGATGGCAGAGATGGAATGTGTGCAGGGTCAGTTTCTTGAGTTGGCTATATAATCTTTGATTTTGAATTGCTTTATGCAATAAAATGTCTTAAAAAACAGATTTTTCCCTGGTCAGATATTTTCTTTTAATACCCTTGTAATAGGGTAAGATGATCATTTGGATTTCAAAGGAGGCTATCTCACTCTTCATTTTGTATCAGCATGGTTTAATGGAAATGACTTTGGATCTCAGTGAACTTATACCTGTGGAGTTAATGAAGCTTAAATCTATTAATGTCTTAACTTTTCATTATTGGAAACAAATGTTCAATCCTGATCTTTGTTTTCACTTAGCATGTTCCCAGCCCTCTCATGTCTAACCATTGTGTTCACAGATAATACCCATTCCAAAATTAATTGCACAGATTTTTTTCATGGCATCTTGAACTATCTAACTATATAATTAGTAATTTTTTCATGTAATAAACATACTACAGACAAAAGTTATTCCATCATTTGATAAAGCCTCAGAGAAGCTTATTATTTTGATCAAAGACACATGGGCAGTTGGTACAAAGGCCTGAAAGAGTGGGATTTTTTTGTTCTTTTATTTTTCTATTGCATCATTGTCATTTTGTAAAATTGTAGGCTTAAAAATAAAATTGCTATCCACTTGGTCTGTAAAGATTGCTAACATATGGTAGTTTATAGATTGTTTAAAGAGAGTGGTAAACACCTCCATTTGTTTTAATCTGAGAAATTTAGCATACTTGACAAATAAATGAATAATTTTTAATTGTGCAAAAAGAGTCAGTGTTTCCTCTCAACACCTCCTGCATTCTTGCATCCTCCCACATTAAAACAGAACAGATGTTTCTTGGTTAAATTCAAAGTAGCATTTATTTTTATATACTTTTCAGGAAAGTAATTTAAATTTCATTGTGTTTGTAGGGGAGGTGGGTAGGGCTGGGAAATGTGATGAATCCCAGACAGTGATGGGTGTTTTGAATGTGTTAAAATATCGAGAAGGAAGCGACTGTGTGATATTTGGCTTCCAATATTATCACATTAACAGTTAGTTGAACACCAAGATAGAGTATTCTGAATATCCTTTTAAAGAGTGGATTTATCTATGTTCTGAAACTCCATCTATTCATTTTTAAGCAGACAGTATGATGAAAAGCACTCAATAGTTCTTTATCAACCTGCACATTGAGTTTTCATAACTAATTCATCACTCAGCTGAAAGAGACAACTCCCAATAGATGGAGTTGGAATTGTACTCTTTTGTACAGGAGGAAACTCAAACACAAGTAGAAAACTTTTTTAACTTTGAACTTGATAATTAGACCTATTGGAGTCAGACAGATCTTTTAACACGTTGTATTTCCCTAAAGCTGGCAAGGAGAATAAACATTAGTCTTGGCTTTGCCATTAGTCTCTACAGAAACCCAATTCAGGGACAGATATTTGTCCTCCTGTGTAAAACGCTGGTTATGACACCTGCATCCAATATTGTATATGTGGTTCTGAATTCTGGCTCTGGCTCGGGTTCCTGTCTGCTTTCCTACCAGTGCAGACCCTGGGAGGCAGTGGTGACAGCGCAGGAAGTGGAGTTCCTGTCACCCATTTTGGGATACTGGAATTGAATTCCTAATTCCTGGCTCCTGGTTTTGTCCCTGGATCCCAGCCTGACTTTGCAGGCATTTGGGAAGTGAATCAGAGATGTAATCTCTGTGATTCTCTCTGTCTCTCAAATACAGAAAAATCTCTAACAAAGTCATAGTAAAATCAAATATGAAATTGTCAATATTTCCATTATTTCCTTCTCTCCTTACCTCTTATCAAGGGATTAAGCTTCAAGTAATTTAATGTGGCATCAAATAAAAATTTGAATTTGAGCTTAACTTTAATTAGTAAGCTGTATCCTCCCTTTGGAGGAATTATTACCTTAATATAATTTTGCTCTGCAGACAATTTCTTAAAAACAGGGCTGAAATACTGAAACAGAGATTGAGAAACTTTTTTCAGGAATTTTTTCAAAAATATCTATTTATTTTTATTGCAAAGTCAAATATACAGACAGGAGTAGAGACAGAGGAAGATCTTCCATCCACTGGTTCACTCCCCAAGTGGCCACAGAGTCAGTCAGAAGCCAGGAGCCAGAAACTTCTTCCAGGTCTCCCATGTGGGTGCAAGGTCCCAAAGCTTTGGGCTCTCCTCGACTGCTTTCCCAGACCACAGGGAGCAGAATGGGAAGCGGGGCCACCAGGACTAGAACTGTGCCCATATGGGATCCTGGCGTGTGCAAGGCGAGGATTTAGCCGCTAGGTTACCATGCCAGGCCCCAGAAAAATTTTTTTTCCCTTGAATATTTTACTGCTTTAAAATGCACCTGTCTGTCTGTCTGTCTATGTATACATGTAATTCCTTTGCATTAATATAGATATATGACTGATATGTGACAAGAAACGTCCTTATACATAACTGGTTTTCTGTAGGCTTCAAGGCTGGGTAATTTGCCACTTTCACACTTAACATATCCAATGTAGATTTATTTTCAATCTCATTTTATTTTTGCTGGAGTAGCTGTTAAGTCTCTTGGTAAAGTGGCTTAATCTCTAATGTTTAAAAAATAGTGTGTATTTTGGTGAATGTATGAAAGCACTCTTATTTTCTTGAATTAATGTTTTCATTCCTTTCTTCGTTTTGCATTGTAAAAGAGGAAATAATGAAAGAACACTGAAGATCTGATAATGTGTATGTAAATTTAACCTAACTTTTCATCTCTGGGATGTTAAGATGTGCTTTTAAGGTTGAGGCAGCAATAACCTTAAAGTTCCAAAATTCTGTTTTACCTTTACTTCCTATATAGAACTTTTATCATTGTTCATTTTCCCACCAGTATGGAACCTTTCATTTCAGCCGTGTAGATGTGACTGTATTATACCTAGTCACCTTAAGCCCACTTGAAGTAATCATTATTATTTATCTCCTAAAGCCAACAAAAGGAAATTGTGTGCAACAATAGTGATGGTGTTTATTTCCACTGCGATTTTCTATGCAGGGCTGATAAATGAGATTGCTTGTATTAAATCGGACCCTTTGAGAATTTGGTTATGCACATATAACATTTCTTAAGATACTTTTTTTGCACATGACATTGCATAAGATTAAAAAATAAACTGAGCGGCTTCAGGATTCTTTGTAAGTAAAGTTTCGTGAGGCGGACCTTTATAGGAATGCTAGCATGAGCATGTCTTAAAATGATGGATATTGCCAGAGGTCAGTGGCATCCTTGATGAGTTCTTCTTCTGTATCAATGATTTTATTGTGTTTCTTTGTATTTTTTCAAGGATGAAATCTTACACTAAGTTGACTATTAGCATTTCCCTCATGGTTCTCACATCAATCTCTTACTATATCTCCAAAGGAATGTGGACAATGAATGGATTATTACCTAGCTAATGAATTTCAAAGGCTATGAAAATCTAAAGGCGAAGATTCCCTATAGGAGTTTGCCATAATTACTGAATTTTATGCATTTTGTTTCATATAATTGTAACCAAAATCCTTAGTTAAGCATTTAAAACTTTTTTTGTAGTATTTTCAAAGCTAATTCAACTGTGTTTTATTACTTGGAAACAGCTTAAAATGTATTTACCTTAAATGGGCTAAAGAGGGAAAAGATTTGTGTGAGAATCTAAAAATTGAGAAAGAGGATCATTATTAACGTGGCAGTATCGTGTTCTGCCTGGTGTGCTGTTTGTTGGTGAATCAGGGCTCTGTTTTCAGAAATGCTAACTTATAATGCTGAGGTTTCTCATTCATCCTATTCTTTTATTTCACTCTCGTCTTTCTTAATTCTGTTTTGGATTTTTCCTGAAGTCCACTGAACTTGTCTGTCGTGTGTTTTAAGCTTTGAGTAAAAGAAGACTGAATAATATAATTCTCAAAATAAATATATCCAATTTGTGATTAGTCATGTTGTCAATTTTCCCCTGGAAATCTTTAATCTCTTAAAAGCTTCACTGGGTTCTTGGCATATGATGAGGGCAATTCACCTCACTTGGAACTAATAACTACACAGTAGGGGAACTATGATTCTCACTCACCGAGACCTAGACCAACTGGTAAGGCACACCTGCTCCAATATATAATACCTCTTGCAAACCAGCAATGCGTTTAAAGAACATATTTTCAACTTTATCTGTTCTACTGCCTTGAACCCTAAACATGGATATTTAAGCATACATCTATGCTAATCTCAGTGTTTACATCAAATAATTTTTTATTATAATACTTCAAGGAATTATAACAAGAAATGCATCTATCATTTCTGTACTGTCTGCATGGTTACTGATTCAAATTATTTGTTAAAAATTTTTGGTAAATTGGTGTATATAGGAGCACTTCTGTACATGAAAACTAGGATGTTGCAGTGACATGATTGATTTTCTTGTTTTTCTGCTACTAAGCAGACTTTCCATTTCTCTCTGACCTTTGATGGGATCATCCTCACAAAATTGAAAATCCATGGAATAACCAAAAGCGCTAACACTTGACACGTGTCCCACTGAAGTTCTCAGGGAATGGTCTTCACTGTGGGTCATGGGAAGGCACTGAACTGGAGCACCTACTGAGTAATAAACTGACTGCTGTGTAATCACATTATCTCCTGCAATCTCAAGGGTGCCTGGTGGCAAGTTATATGATTTCTTTCTTTCTTCCATAGCTGTTGTTAACTTGGACAACTCTGTGGTTGACCTGGAGACCCTTCAAGCTCTCTATGAGAATGTGAGTAATAAAAGGAATTTTATGTGTGAATATATTTTACATACATAATCAGTGTCCAAATACACATGCAGATTTGTTTTGCTGTCCTTGGAGGAAAATTGATCTGGACAAGATGACTATCTGGAAATAGGAATTTGTTATCATTCCTATGAGCATGTTAGACAAATGGGCGGTCTCATGATTTTATTTATTGTGATTGAAATTCTGACTGTGATATCGCTGACGGTTGCCTCTTTGAAATAATAGTCAATCCTTTTGTGAGAGAGGAAGCTGATTTGAAGTTATCATTGTTCTGTGTGCCTCACACATGCATTTATTGTTTCTTTATATTAACAAAACTAAATATATTCAAGGTGTATAGCGTGCAGATTTGATATACATCGTGTAGTTAATTCATTTACTGCCACCCACACTGTACATAGGAGCTTGTTTATTTTTTGACTAAAATCTGTATCTTTTGACCGGTTGTCTGGTTTTCTCTGAGCAAGCGAGCACTGTTCTATATACTTATTTTGAGTTTTTAAAAATCCCTTATTTATCCTTCTATATATGGCTTATTTTACTCACAATATCTCCCAAGTTTATCCATTTGGTTGCAGTTGGCAGATGTTTTTTTTCTTTTAGTAACTGTATAATATTTGTTAGTCCATCTATTATGACTTCTTTGCCATTCATTCATCATCAGATGTTTAGATTGTTTCTGTATCATGGCTATTGTGAATAATTCCACAGTGAAAATATGCATGTGTGTGTGCGTGCGTGCCTGTATACAGATGCAGCTTAGACACAGATTCCATGTAGTCATTCTAATTTTTTTTTCAGTTTTAGAGTCTCCACAGTTGTCCATGGTAGTTGTAACAATATACATTTCCAGTGACAATATTCTTGGGTTCACTTTTCCTACAAACCAACTCTTATCTCCTGTTTTCTTACTAATAGCCATGCTGGTAAATGTGAGTTTATATCTCAGTGTGGTTTTGATTTGTGCCTCTAGTGAGCTAAGGGCAGATATTATTATCACCCCTTTTTTGTGGGCATTTTAAAAAGGTTTATTTTATTCACTTGAAAGATAGTGACAGAGAGAGGTGACAGAGAGAGGGAGAGACAGAGCAAGAGAGAATGAGGTCTTTCATTTTCTGGTTCTCTCCCTAAATGGGTCAAACAGCTGGGGCTAAACCATGCTGAAACTAGGAGCTAGAAGGTTCTTCAGGGTCACCCAGGGCCTTCTCTCCTCCAGCAGATGCCTTACAAGCACATGAAAGCTAGATTAATATAGGCCATAGTTTCATTTCCACGTGATATAAACTTCCTTTCCGTATCTGATCCTTTCTTTCCAACCAACCTCATACAAGTTCATATCAGCAGTTGTAGTCCCAACTACAAGAAATTAACATAATCAGTATCATTAAAGGTAAACCTTATTTTCCTTCATATCAAGTAAGTTTAGTAACTCAGTCAGGTGATAATAGATGTATTATATCTCTGTAATAACTATGAAATGAGTCAGCGTTTTGAAATGGGACCTCAGGACAATAGAGTATGCAGATGAGTTCTGACTCAAGTATTTTTGCATGTGTACTCAGAGACTCCTGATAGTTTTATGAAATTTGAACCATCTGATTCATATTCATTATGCTTTCTTATTTGTCACTACCACATTCTCTGTATTTAATAAAAGCTATGACTGCCTTTGTACATTCTCCTTATGTGCTAAGCAGAGAGCTCTTCTCATTTTGTTTTAGTTTTTGTTTTTCCTGCTCATCCTTTTTAAGGCATGCTGGGAGAGCCTTCAAACTGAAAATGTATGAGCAATAAAAAGCAGTAAGTTAACTTGCCTCTTTTTATTGATTGCTTTTTATTGCAGACTATTTATAGATTGCTAACTAAACATTAAGCAGTGTGCTAAAATTAGCACTAGTGGTAGTAGACGCTGCCCTTATAGTTTAAATGATTAAATGTAGTAGCAGAAGTTAAATATAGTGCTTCGTGTTTATATACATTTTTCCCATTTATAGGATTTTCACTTTGATTTTTCAGGTCTAGTTCCTTTATTATTAAGCATTATTTATTAAGCATTATTTGCTTAACCCAAAGAAATATCTTCAATTTATGTAGTTATCTTGTCCAAAGTGAGGTTTCAATTATTTTTTAGAATGTGCTTATTTCCTCTATTTTTAAAGCAGATTTTCATTGGGTATAGTCTAAACTGACAACTTTTACTCTCTTCATAGTGAAGCCTTCCCACTTGTTCTGGTTTCCATTGCTATTAATGCCAAATCTACCATCATTGTTCTGTGTATAAAATGCGTTAGCGTCCAAACTGCACTGCTTTGTCTTTTCAATATGAATTTAATCAGTTTAATTATATATCTAAACATGGTTTTCTTTGTATTTCTTACGATTGAATTTAAGTAATTTCCTCATTCTTCGTGGTTGTATTTTTCACTATTTTGCATGTTTTTCAACTTTTGCTTTCTTTCTTTCCTTCCTTCCTTCTTCCTTCCTTCCTTCTTCTTTTTTAAAAAATATTTTTGAATAACAAAGCTAGAGAGAAGAAGAAACAGAGCTTCCATCCACTGGGTTCACTGCCAGCTGGCTGCAATGGCCAGGGCTGGGTCAGGCTGAAGCCAGAAATCAGGAGCTTTTTTCCAGGTCTCCCTTATGGGTGCATGTACCCAAAGATTTGGGCCATTTCCTGCTGCTTTCCCAAGCATGTTAGGGAGCTGATCAAAAATGAACCAGCTGGTAGTCTTTGGTTGCTAATGCTCTGTAAGTTTTTTAGAATTTTATTTTCCTTTATCTTATGCAGCATACCTCTAAGAACTGCTTTAAGCTCTTGTTTTGCAATTGAAACATCCAGGACACCTCAGCTGGCTGTACTTTCTGTTCAGGCTCAGTCAAGTTAGTTTTGGGTCTTCAGCCCATTGGATAATTTTGAATTATATCTCTGACATAGTATACTGTTGTTCATTCTAAGTGTGCTTAATCATTTCTTTCTAACATAGAACTTAACATTTCAAAGAGTTTAGCACTCTCTCTGCTAACGTGATCTGAGGTTTACTGAATTTCTTTTTTCGTTTTTGAAAACATGCATTCCCCACTCTTGTGTTTTCCAAACCAGATTCAATAAAACACTCTCTTTTGTAATCTGTTGGACATGTACTACATAATCAGTTAAGTCGAGCAAACTATTATCTTAAAAATAAATGCTTGTAAAGCCATCGTATATATGCGTAATTATATGGCAGCTTTCAAGTGGAGAGCATTTTTAGCTGAAACCTTACTTCAATTTTATTGTTACTCTAATAGGAATGATAGTATTAACATACTTTGGAAATTACTATTTTGTAAAAATGAAATAATTACTCAAAAACATATAATGATAAGGAATATGTCTGTTTACATAGCTACAATTGGAGACAGTTATTACTTTTTTTAAGATTCTTCTTATTTGAAAGGCTAAGTTATGGAGAAAAGGCTGGTTCACTCTCAAATGGCTGCCATAGCCAAAGCTGATCTGATCTGAATTCTGGAGCCAGAAGCTTCTTCTGAATCTTCCACATGGGTGCAGGGGCCCAAGGACTGAGCCATCCTCCACTGCTTTCTCAGGTCGTTAGCAGCTGCTGGATCAGAAGTGAGGCTTCCAGGTCTAGAACTGGTGCCCAAATGGGATACTGGAATTGCAAGTAGAGGATTAGCTTATTATGTCACTATGCTGGACTGAGAATTACTCTCTTAATTATTATTACCAGATAATTGAGTGGGTATTCTGTTTATATGTTTCCTCAACTTGTACATCTTTTTCTTTAAAAATTACAGTGCAAAAATTTATCTTAGAATATAGATCAGTTCCAATTTGATATGAGGCCAATATGATTGTTTTAAACTGCTTACATACAGAGTTTTCTAAATTCTAAATACTTATAGTTCAAAGGATATTTGATAGAGAAAAACATTTGTTAAAGGAAAGCAGGTATTGTCTAGGGTGGTAGAAAACATTGCTATTTAAATGATGACATATGAACTAAGACATAGGAGAGAGAGAAGCCATGTGGAAATCCACTAGACAATATCTTGCCTGATGTATGTACAAGATATTGCAGGAGCAGCAGGCTGGCCCCAGTGACTGAAATATTGCAAGTTAGTGGATAAAAAGACATACTTGGGAGATTAGCTTCTCTGTCAGCCTTCCTATTTGCAGTAAAAGGAGAAGCAAGTACAAAGTTTTGAATATGGAAGACAGAATAATATGCAGAGTAAAGTGTCAGAGACCTTTAGGACTTGTGATGAGGAACCTGTGCAAGATAATTACATTTTTTAAAATCTTCAAAGAAACAAGCCGTAGAATTTGGTTGAGTATGGACAGTGGGTGGAAAGGAGGCATCAGAAGTGATTCCATGATTTCCAATCTAGGCATTATAAAGAAATGTAGTTGTAATTACCTACTATGTGGAAGTAATTGGGTAAAGGATGGGGATATAAGGGTTCACTTGGGTCACGTTCACTCTGCCCATTTATTCAAATAGATGTGCAGAAATAGGAGTCTGGTCATCTTGAAGCAGGAAATGGTGCATAGGCTCTGAGGGTTAGATGAGCTCTCTGTGTGGATTCATTCAGAGGCCAGAGCTATAAGCAGATGAGATCTTATCAGTGATTATCCCATCAGAGGAAGGGCCAAGGAGGCAAAGATCCCTCATGGCACATTGGGCTGAGGAAATGTAGCTGACTGAGAAGTCCAATAGAGGTATCCCCACTCTAAGGGGAAGGGCATTGATTTCTTGGCGAATATGCGGTTTCAGCTTACTCCTTTACCCTGGGCCATAATTATTCAAAATTTCTAGGCATGCAAGAAATAATTCTAGGGAGCCAGATGACCAATAGTTTATTGGCAGGTATGAGGAGGGAGTCAAAACACCATCATGAAGCCTAGAATCTGTAGTGTCCATGTTTGGAAGACTAATGAAGCAAATCATGTATTTGCTTACTTAGGACTAGGGAAT